CCTGATTACAAGGCGAAGTAGCTGCATTTCCAAATGGATCTCACATCGTTTGGATACGAAAATGGCATCTAACACCTCAGTTCTTCGCAAGGTATCTCATTTAATCAGATCCTCTAACTCATGCTCGACCCATTATGACCAGCCCCCAGTGGTGTCGCAGGGGTATTGAAAAAATATAGGGACCGCCGGAAACATGCCTCCTTCTATGCAACACCTAGAGATGGACTTGAGATCTATAATGGGAGCTACCTTCGCCGCTGGCTCTTCATCTATAAGTGGACCTTTGCAAAGGTTATTAGATGACGGAGAGGGGGTCATCCCCTCCTTAAGCCATCATCTAGGGAGAACAAGTTATCTTTCATCACTGGTGGCGACCTAGGCAAGATGTCGGAACCCATTAAAATATACCTTGTGAATTCCTACAAGCAGGACAAGAAATAATGGTAAGACTAAAACTCAGGGCATGATAAGATTCATCAAGAGAAAGGATATGCTAAATTCTCAAACAAAAGGAACATGCTAAGCAAAACTTATACATAAGCTTTCCAACCACTCTAGCTGGAACAACACACCTTTAGAAAATCACTAGAAATCAAGTTTACAACTAGCAAATCCCAAACTTTCCTGATTAGAAATAGACATGTCAAGCTCATTTTCTCAAAAATTTCGTTGCATTTAGAGCTAGGGAAGCCTGCCAAATAGATTCCTGAAACAGGCCATGTAGCAGAAACTGCACAATTCCAGCACCTTAAACCCTTACTTTGAAATTACACAAAAAATTCATTTTTGCTTCAACTGACATAGGACCAATTCCAACATAACCATTGAGAAGTCTAGTCTTAGGTGTCAAAAGCTCCATTTCATATTCAAAGGACAAAATTTCGAAAGGTCAGAGAACATCCCATAAGATACTTTGAGACTTTTTCTCAAACACTTAGCATGCATGAATTAAGTAAGCTTGTGGGAGGTTTGTTTATCACCAAGTTAAAACCCTAAATCAGAAGCTCAAACTAATTCACGAATTCTGGGAAATACAGAGGAACTCAAGCATTTAAGCATAGAAAACAAGCATGCAACAAAGGAATCAACATCAATTTATGATCATACTTAAGAAAATGAAGACATGGAACACTGCAATGGTTGAATGATCCTCAATTTTGGATATATTATAAATAACACAAATTCAAGCAGATTTCATGAAGTAAGCACAATCATCCGAGCATCAGAAATTAAAAACAAGTGAAGAAACTAAATTTGCAGGCACTCACCAGCAATGGATGAACACAGAAGTTGCAGACCAACTTTGAGGCTTCAGAAAAAATCCAAAAATTCTCAAATGCTTACAGGATCTATTACTCGAGAAGATGAACAACTTTCATCAAGGAAGGTTTCTGATATGAGCTTCCAAAATATGACTTCTGTATTGATGAATAGTAGCCACATGTTTCAATCTTGAAGAGAGAAGAAGAGTTGAAGGAGAAGAAGGAAAATGAAAGGCACATGCACATGCTGAGATAATAAAAAAAACTTGGGAAAGCTTGCAAATTGCAAAATAGTTAAGCTCCTAACCCACCTTATCAATATTGTAAGCCTTTCTATTATCACATTCTCATGTTTTATTGTCATAAAACAAACAAGTAAAAGAAGGCACTCCACTTGTGAGAAGTTGCATATAGTTTTTCCTATCTTTAAGTTAGCACTTCCTTTTAGAGCCATTGAGTTTTGATTTCCTTACAAACTTTTTCCACGCTACAATTATTATATGGTTGCATTATTATAATCATTTTTGCATTACTTTGATTACACTTGTTGTCATGCTTGGTGCATATAAAAATTTAATGCCACCACCACCTTTGCATGTACATAACGAAATAATAACTTATATTTATCCTTGTTATTTTCACTTTATCATTGTTACATTTGGTGCATTATAGCCACAAGCATGACAATATCATCTTAACCAAAGAAAAGGAGGGTCGCGTGTGATCGTCATACGCAAGCCACTTTATGCATTATATTTATCACTGTTGTGCGGAAACACCCTTTGATCTTGTTCTCAATGGACTATGTAACAAACCCCCACAACTCACAAGGATGAATGAAACACTCACACACTTAGAAAAATAAGTAAGCACACAAAGAACATAGAGATTTATAGAAGTTCAACAACTAATTGCCTACATCCTCATGGTGATCCCCTTGAGAAAATTGACTAATGAAAGGTAGGTTACAACCTTGGTTTACAAAGAAACCCCTTTGAACTCTCTGTTTCCCTCCCCAAGCTCTCTTTTTCTCTCTCACCCCTTTACTTAAACCCTTGATGCTCTTGTGGACTCTCTCACTTAGTTTTCCCTCCTTGATTTCTAGACTTACAAGACTCCCACTCTCAGCTCTCCCTCTTGTTTCTGATTGCTCTTAAAAACACCTTGGACTCCCAGCTCTCTCTATTTGTTGATCCTAATTGTATTCTTTGCACTTCGTACTTAAATAGACACTATAAGGAGCCTCTCTTCAGCTGCTACTTCACTTGCTAGTCACCCTCATCAAGCCCTTGGAATGAGAAGTCTTCACACCAGCCACCTTCATTAATGTCCTTGGGATGGGAAGCCATGCATCTAGAGCTACAACAACATGCTGGAAGTCACCCCTAGAGCTATTACAAATCAGTTCCCCCCTTTTGAAACTAATTCCTAACCCCTAAAATAACTCACAAGCTTCCAAACAAACTCATTGATTTTGGGATTACAAAACTATTTGGAATGGGAACTGAAAACATGTGAAAAACAAAGCCAAAACTGAATGAAACTAATTGCATTCTGGTTTGCAATTTCCAACTGTCAGTTTGTCAATTGTATTCTTGTTTGCAATTTCCAACTGTCTGTTTATCAATTGCATTCGGTTTGCAATTTCCAACTGTCTTTTGTTAATTGCATTCTTTCTTTTACATCTTAGGTGAGCCAATTTTCACAACATTCACTTCAAATTTTGTATTGTTACTCAGCATGCATTCCTGTCTCATGCATACTATCAAATGATAGTCACATGGGTTATTTGAATCATCCTCAACGTTAAAGGCTTTGGGTAAGATATTATTTCGAAACACTACAGAAAGAAAAGAAACGGTCACCTACTATGGCTTTCTGTTTTGGGGCTGAAATTGATTATTTGGTCCATTTTAGGTACCTTTCATGGCCCCAATAATCAAGGGGGCTAACGTTAAGGCCCAAAAAAATCTTAAGAAAACCCATGCATATTTTAAAGCCCAATGCACTATCATGCTATAAAAGCAGCCTAACCGATGTGGGAGCCAAATTAAATCAGAACCCTAATTCCTTCTATTTGGGGATAATTTGACCTAATTGGGAATTTCTAAACCTAATTAGGAGTTACTCAATTTAATTGGGGGTTATCCAATTAAATGAGGAATTACCTAATTATGTTGGAAATTAACCTACCTACCACCATTAGGGATTTGATTAATTCCCTAATTATCAAATCCCTAAATACACCAACTCCACCAACCTCACCTACCACAATTAGGGATTTGATTAATTCCCTAATTAATCAAATCCATAAATGTACCAACCTCACCTACCTCACCAACCACACCAACCTCACCAACCTCGTCAAGGCCCCCTATAAATACTTGGCCACGCACAAGGATGAGGTACGTCAGAATTTCTACTCAAACTCTAGAGAGCTCTTCCCTTCACAAATCCTAGCAACCTCTCCTTCTATCTCTCTCTCTCTCTCTCTCTCTCTCTCTCTCT